AACAGTGAAGTTCTAAGTGTACTGAGTTGAACCAGTCTCGAATATACCTACACAGTAGGTTGAATGGACTGACGCCTATCAGAAAACAGCTACTCCCCTGGCTAATAGAATAATGATGATATTCTGGAGAGGTGCATGCAAGTTCAGGTGAAAAACACCTTACCCTATGCCTCCCATGCGAACCTACGACTTTGTAGGTATGATACTCTGAAAGAAATTCGATTTTCAATTATAGTGTCTGATTATGGCCACTACCTTGCACTGACGAGATGCCAAATAGCCCTAAACCGATCTGCAAGTGTGTCCGTTCCTTCAATTGAAAATCTATTCCAGCAGTTGTATCGCCAACAGCATATGCAGGAAATACCTCTGTGAAGATTCCTACACTAACATCTGTGGGATATAATCCAACGCCCATCGTGGTATTAGCCAGGGGAATAGTTGTTTTCTGATAGATGTCAGGCCATTAACCTTCAGTGTAAGTATGTCGAGACTGGCCTGAACAAATTGTTCTTTTGATTAATTTGTTATCAGTATCCTGTCCACTCGACTTCACTTCATAGTTATTCCTTCAATGATTGATAACTTTTATTTCTTCTTGTAGTTGTGTCATTATTATTTTCAATTCGTTTATAGCCTACTTTATAACGGTTCAATTAACACATCAATTTATATTTACATCTGCACGTTTTGCTTTTGTAAAGCGCTTCCTATTAGTTGGTGAATAGCCAACCGATTTTCAGTCACATCAGTACATTGAGCATGCAAAAAACTTTCGCAATAAAAATATCGCAATCCGGGAGACTCATTACTCAGATTTATTGTACAAATCTGACAAACCACCAACATATGATGATAACTGATGTAGTGATGAAAACCCCCCTTACTAAGATTCCATCTATGTGATCGACAGAAGACTCAATCTAGAATATCAAAAATAATCGCGGTCATTTGCAACTGTCCTTTGAGGAGAGTTGAATCCGGCAAAGCATTTGTGGTTTAGTCACTGATGAGACCTAGGAGTTGTCGAAACAGCGAGGTCTGGTGTTGGATCATGAATGCTTTGTTTTCTGGTTTTGGTGTCAACTAGTGTCTTGCAGTGAAAGCTGCAGTAGGAGACAGATGACGAATCTCATTTGGCGATCGATGTCGAAGTTTGGCTTTGCAACTGATCGGCTTGGAGAACTTCGTTTATCATTGATATTCGTGAATTATGTCTTCTGTCCATCCCATAGATGGCGTATTCGAAAGAGTAGTATTATCACATTTACTTTAAACTACATCTGAATCATCATATGAAGATACTTGGTCTTTGAAAAAACAGTGCATGTTATCTCTGTTTCACAAATGATGAAACAGCAGAGAACATTCTTTGTACCGGCCGCGCTGCGTACCGAATCAGGTTTTCAGAGCAGAGTTTCACTCTTGTCATCTGACCTGAGTAATAACTCGCCATATAAGGTAGTCGAATTCGTCAAGAAGTTGGATATATTTGGTCCAGTTTGAACAGGTGTGAGCCAGAATAATCGATTGCGGGAGTGGAGCTAACTTTGGACTTGATCCTAACCTAGCCTGAGCGCCCAGTGCTCGTATAATAAATAATCCTGAATGTTTTGAATTTCCAACCGTATAGCATGTTATAAAAAAAATATTGTAGAAATATTTTCAGTGACGTTTCACTGAATGAAAAATTCTTTCTTCAGTTGAAGTATATGATTTTTAAGAATGGGTCGTATTTTCTAGGTTTCCATATAGACAGACATACCTTCTAGATTGTAGAGCATGTACCAATGGCCTTGTTTCTTTTGAAATATTTTTTCGACTTAAATGAAAACTTTTGCGTGCAATATCAATCACCCATCAAAAAACTTAGGCGTTGAAATTTAACTTATTCGAACATTTTATAGGTTATTGTAGTTTACCTAGATCTAGTCACTCAGATGTAGGTGGCTCCCGTATGGAGTCTAGTAGTAGTACTGGACTGCTCTCTGGTTTGGATGGTAATGCCTCCCAAGCTTACAGTGATGTTGCTGCCTTAGAAACTGTATCGGAAGATCAAGAAGCAATAGGTGCTGTGAAACTTCGCACCACAGGTAAAGTTTTATAAAATATTTTGATGTGTCTTACAATGCACTTATATGATTCACTTAGTCCTTATCTACCTATTTTCTCATCATTTCACCTCTCAAGTTACTTCTTGCCCTTATGCTCATCTTTATGTTACGATGTTGGAATTATTATTCTCTATTGTCTGATATCTTCGATCAATTCCAAGATAAATAACTCATGCAGGAATAATGCATGATGATTTGTGGAATAAAAACTAATTTGGCAGATGAGGAAATCAAATGTCTCAATACAAATCAAAATAATTCTGAAGATTGTATCCAGGAAAGATACATAAGAAAGAAAATAATAATAATAAGAAAATAAATATTTGGAATGGAATAAATGACTCCAAAAACAAGCACTTTCTTCAATCACCCGAAATGCCATACTCTAATCGACGCTTGTTTCACCATCCAGAATTTGGTTTTTCTTCATCTCCTGAAGATGCCATCTGGGATGGTGAAATGCGCGTCGAGAAAAATTCAGCTATTTTTCATCTCTTGAAGACACCAACTTGATTGATGAAACTTGCGTCGAGAAGAGTATTGCATTTCTAGTGATTGGGTTCCAGTTTTCCCTTTTATGAATAAATGTCTGTCGGACATAATTCAATATCCATCGTGGTATTATCTAGGGAAATAGTTATTTTCTAGCAGAAACCTTTTGTGTAGGTACGTTGGGAAAGATGAATGCTTAGATCTTCCAATTCGAAATATTTATTTCCTTATAAATTCCCTTTTAGTTTTATAGCCAAGTAAGTATACAACAATTGAAACCATTTTCGTTGAGAATATTCTTTAGTGGGATTTCAAGGCAAATTTCTATAGTATATAGAGCACAGCAAATAGTATATCATCAATTCTCGAAGACTATTTACTAGCAATACATGGCTTCAAAGCAGGAGCCGAAACATCAGGAAGATGAAAATTATAGACGCGGTTCAACTCGGACGACAGTACATCAAACTGCAGACCGCGTAAATCTGTCCATATATGTATATACAGAGCCATTCAAATTCGTTTCTGTACATGGGGATCTCGTAAACGATAAGAGATACAGTGTCGGTTAAATTATGGCAGTGTTGTGTATTTTAGAGACCTATTCAATGATGTAAAAAAATCGAATATAGCTCTTTTGGTTCTGGAGGAAAAACCAAAAAATTCCAAATTACTTTTTTGTCTATATCTTTTTTATTCGCAGACATATTGAAAATCTGTCCACATTTTGCTATTGGCACTTGTGTGGGCTGTCAGAATATGTCCATGAATCTTTTATACAGGGTGTCATCTGACTTGGGCCACCCCCATCTTTGAATTTTTAAATACGGACCTGTATTTTTTATATCGTCGACGTTCACTTCATAATGAGAAATTAAATTAAATTTTATATTTCGGGATGTTTTGTGAATTATCCCCTATTAAGTTACTTACGGCCCTGGAGATTGGTTGACTGAATTGAATAAAAACACAATATCATCTTTCACGTCTCCCTATGTACCGTAGAGTTTTTCGAGAGTTTTTTTTTTTTCATTTTTAGGTACTTCTTCATATTTTTTCCATTACTCTGGCCGTTTTCTACAATGAACTTCAAATAGGAAAACCTTTTATGATTATCTGAAATATATCTACATCCAAAATATATTATATGTGTTTTAATAAGCAGAAAATACAAAACTACCGTTTGGGGTTATACCGCTCACCTGAGCGCAATTACCCCTTGGTAACTTAATTTTTTACTGTTGCAGATATGCCAAGAAATCGTCAAAGGACGACCGCTAAAGCGGCTTGGACTGAAGCAGACCTTAAAGCAGCTAAAACTGCGATTGAAGGAGGTTCGTCCAAAAGAAAAGCGGCAAAACAATAACCATTTACTACTTTGAGAGATCGACTGAAAAATAACAACTTGAGCAACCCAAAGCTAGGTCGCAAGCCCATTTTTACCCAACAACAAAAAAATAAAATTGCAAAACAAGTTAAGCTGTTGGGTTCGCTATACTATGGCGTCACAGTCACAGATTTGCGTAAACTTGTTTATAAATATGCTGAGCTCAACAATACAATCAAAACAATTACGATCAAAACAGTAAAACAGCAGGATTGGATTGGGTACACGCCTTTATGAGACGCAATCCTTCAGTTACCGTACGCAAAGCTGAAGCAACAAGCTTGAATAAAATTTCTGCTTTCAGCAAAGGAGAAATAACACATTTTTATGATAAAATTGGCGACTTAATGGAAAAATAAAAATTTATTCCCAACAATATATACAATTGTGACGAAACTGGTATCACCACGGTAACAGACCCGGGAAAAGTGCTCGCCGAAAAAGGACAAAGACGAGTAGGATCAGTTACAAGCGGTGAACGAAGAAGCAACATTACGGTTATGTGTGCTATGAGTGCAGCTGGTAACTTTATACCGCCTATGTTTATTTTTGCCAGACGGAGAATGACGCCTTTATCAAAAAAAGATGGACCAGTTGGTGCAATATACACCAACTCTAAAACATTTTGCTGCATTCGCTAAGCCTACCCAAGAATCACCTGTGTTGGTAATTCTAGACAATCACAGCAGTCCCATTTCCCTTCAAGCTTTTGATTTTTGCAAGGAAAACCACTTTACCATGCTCTCCATTCCACCACACAGTTCCCACAGAACGCAGCCGCTGGATGTGTCTATTTATGGGCCGTTGAAAGCTGCTTATCGCAATGAATGCAACAGGCACATGAAGACACATTTAATGTCTAAAATAACCCCATACGACGTTGCAGGTCTTTTCAATAAAGCTTACGCACAAGTTGCTAATATTAGTAAAGCAGAATCTGGATTTCGAGCCACAGGAACTTTCCCATTGAACCCAAATATTTTCACTGATCAAGACTTTCTGGCAGCGTCATTGATGTTACAAGAATCGGAAAAAATTGCTGGAAACCAAGACAAAAACGTTCAGAATTTTGAAGACGTTCAATCTGTTGATATGGCAAGAATTTCGGGACACGCATCTCCATTACCAGGACCATCAAATAAGGACCAATGCTCTGAATCTGTTTCAGCAGGTCCTTGTAACAAAAAACTTGTTGATGAGCAAAGAACTACGGTATCCTTTGATTCTATAGCAACAACACTAACTATTGCACTTCCAAGCCAGCTCAAAGAAAACGAAAACAACATGCTACTGTATCAACTGCGACTCCTATGAAAACTATTTTAGAGGATAAAGAAAAGAAAAAACTGGGAAAACTCAAGAAGACTGAAAAAGATGATCAATCAAAACCAAAGAAAGGTGTCAAAGAAAAGAAGAGCAAACAAATCAAACAAAAATCTTACAAGAGAAAAATTTAACAAGAAAATTCTTCAGAGACTGAAGATGAAGAACAGCTTTGCGATGATGACAGTGATGACAAAATGTATGTTGACGACGAAAATTATAACNGGTCCTACTCAAACTGAACGTTTCATCTTCTTGTTTGTTCTTTCATACGGTTAGAACGACTTAGTGCAGGTATTTGTCCCCTCCTGTCATCGGGATGTCTCACAAAACAACGATGGACTGCATTCACATACATAGGTCACCAAACATTTGCAAACCCTTGAACATCAACATCACTTACAAGCTGAACACGAAAATAACACAAAAAATTAACAGCTGTGAAAAAGAAGAAGACAAAAACCTATACGGAGTGTACAGCATACACTGCTCGGGCTGCAACAAATACTATATCGGCCACACCAAGAAAAATTTGATCCAAAGGTACGACGAGCACAAAAAAACATATATAAACACAATAACATATAAATCAAACCTTGCAACACACGCCATACAAAACAAACATAACTTTCCCCCACTAGAAAACATAAAACTCATAAAACAAGTAAATAAAGGAAACTGTATGGGCATCTGAGAGAACCGAAACATCCATAATAAAGGAAACTATATGGGCATCTGAGAGAACCGAAACATCCATAAATTCAAAAGTCATAATTCACTTATCGAGGAACAAATACAACGTTTGTTTGAAGGTGGTTGACAATGTTTCGTGGTGTATTTCATCAGTTAAAAAGATTAACAGAAAATAACAATTTTATTTGAACAAAAAAACTGAAAACATAACTTGGAATTTCAAATCAGTTTATATTATATTAGACAATGGAAGTCCGAACTGATGAACAAATACAAATCAAAACACAACAAGGCCTAACATTCAATATACTACACAATAAAATACACATTCCTAGAAACGATGAACCTGTAGGAGCTCCAACACAAAGGACATTACCTGATGTAACCCAAATAAAGGCAAATTTAAAGAGACATCCGGATGACAAGAGGGGACAAACACCCGCACTAAGGCGTTCTAACCGCATAAAAGAACAAACAAGAAGATAAAACGTTCAGTTTGAGTAGAACCATGAAGATGACAGCACAGCCTGCTATCGAAAGCTTGTTCCGATAAAAAAATACAATATGTTTTTTAGTTTACATAAGTATTCAACCTATCCATTTCTGTTAATGCATTTTTATTACAAGATCTTTCTCCTTAAGTTTTATTGGATTTGGAATGATGCTACAACGCTCATCAAACCCTTACATTTGATACCCATATCATAGGGATTATTACGAAAATTATAAATCTTCATTTTGCCTACCATAAGAATTAAGAATGATGTAACTTGGCTTATCGTATTCCGCTCATCAAACCGTTTTGTTCAATATCCATATCATAAGGGTTAATGTGGAAATAATCGCCATTTTCTGGTGTCCGCCATATTGCAATAATTCAATTGGTAGTGCATTGTGACGACAACCAAAAGTGCATGTGAAATTTAATTTCAATTGGTTGATGTTAACAAAAATCAGTTTCAAGATTTGTCCGACACAAACTAATAACAAGTCAGGTTAAATGAAGCTTGTGATAATGATGTATATTCCCAGTCTCCAAAATGCAAGCAACCGTAATGAACTTTTGGATTAAACCTTAATATTATAGCAAAATAATTTTGAAATATCCTTTGACAAATTTTTTTGTGAGGGGCTCAATACTTCTTACGGTTTTTTGGGGGATATAACCTTCCACAATCTGAAAAATAAACAAAGCTAAATCAATGAAAATCTACTGAAGTAACTGTGAAATATAAACAATTGAAAAGTCATAATTGACTATTTTTTCGTATCCTAAAATTGACAAATTCATTATACAAATCAATTTCTAAAAGCTTATATACTTGTATATAATTAGTCAAACAACAGTTGCAAAAATATTTAATATACTTCCATTATGGCATTTGAAAAATTACTCTGGATATATTACAGTTGAAAAAAAGAAAGAATACACACCCGTCATAAATTTGTGCGTCCAATATTAGTCGCCAACCTAATGGATACGAAACGATGTGGCTAGTGCTCTGAGCGACCTAACCTTTCAACGTAGAATTGCTATTATTTTGGAAATCCACTAAAAAAAAACTTCGTGTTACGATTTTGCCTCAATTTCAAAATTCACACTTTATTAATTATTCTGTGAAAACATTATATGTTAACTCGTTAATAATATATCATCAATTGGTCTCGAAATGAGAAAATCTGTCTTTGACCTAACGAGTTGAAGTTATTTTATTGATTACGCATTTGAATTCTTTCATTGTCTCCTGTATACATATATAAGACATATAGATGTCACTTCTAAACTTATTTTCTCCTATTGTTATTTTTGTACTTTTTTGTTTACTCTACGATGTCATGCTCTAATTTGAATAAAATATAGTTTTCAAAACTATTTTTGAGGAAAAATTAAATTCACTTTTTTTCAAATCAAGGAAAATATACATAGGCAACGATTTGTAGGTTTTAAATATTATTATAATCGAAATAAGTTTTACAAATTCCTTAAACAAGCTACTTAAAAACTACTCATCTCAAATTATGTATACCACCAGATGTTTAAAGACTGCTCTTCCTGGAGTTACATATTTTCAAAATGTGATTTCTCCGTCATTAATACACTAGAATATTTGAAAACATATTCAAAAGTTTCAGATATTGATGGTTGATGAAAATATGCAGAATATCATTTCTGTATTCTTTACCTTTGGCTAATTTAGTGTTAATTAGGAAGTAATTGTTAACAGTATTTTAGCTTTCGACTTTTTGTCATTTTCAGTGTTGAAAGACGATTCCATAGATCGTTTCAGCGATTTTTACTTTCGTGATTCGTTTGAACATTCCTCGTCTGAATCTCAGCTGATAGATAATAGCTATCGAGGGTATGACACAAGAAATCCATCCCATCGTTCCAGTCGTAGCCAAACTCCGTTGTCCCATTCTCAGGTAGACGGGCGTATTTGCCTGCCAAATACAACAAACCCAGTACATACCAATACGAAGAAATGTAAGAAATTTAGTATTGTTGGAGCTTTTGTACCATCTCTCTTTATCGTAACTGTGTTTGTAAATGTTGATTTTTGATCCTGAAAAATTTTAACATTCAACAATTCACAAGAAAAATCATAGGGATGTAATTTCAGATTGTATATATTATAATTTTGTAAGTGATCTGTTACAAATGCCCCTCTCTTGCTAACAAGTGCTGGTGGACAAAAGAAAATAAATGTCAACCTCTAGGAACTAGATTGTTGAAGAAGAAAGAGATACTAATAGTGTGAATAGAAGTTTAGTGTTTCAGAAGAATATTGCCCACAATTCCTTCATTGAATTTTAAATTATTGAACTTGTTTCAAGTAAGAAAACTGCACCAAAGGTATTTTAGAAATGTTGCACCTGATGAAATGACGCTTTGTAGCTACAAGTTAGTTTGGATAATAATAGGTTTTGTCGGAGTAAAGATTGGTACTCCATATCTGTATCTCTTTCCAAAATAGGAAGGATTTGGAATCTGAATATAATTAACTTTTGAAGGTTGTAGTTGAAGATAGAAAAAGAATCTCTTGTTTATTCCAAAAACTTGAGAGGAATTATTTCAAATAGCTAATGACATTCCAGGTTAGTTTTTTGGTATTTAGTTTTTTCCATCCCTCAATATGTATGTAAAGAACTGGATAGTACTTTTTCTAATACAAAACTTTTAAATTATGTCAAAATGCTTTAAACAAAACAGTAATTTGGAGGTGTTAGATTGTTAAACCTATTGTGAAATTCTAATGATAAGGAAATGAAGCTGTTGCTGGATATTCATATTTATACACAATGAATTGTACAATGAAACATGCAAAGATGTACTTACCTCACTTAGGTGTATATTAACAAACCTTGCTATTTGTTCCCTGTTACATACTTGATTAAAAAAAATCTGTGATCTATTTTCAATCTGCTGCTTTATAAATAAATTAAAAACAAGTATACAAAGCAGTCCTATGCAATGTTCAATCAAAACCTGATATATTTATTAAAACAATGCTTTCTGCAATAAAAATTCCTTAATACTTTATATTGATTCAAGGCGATGCAATACTGATGAAATAAAAAAAATGATATTTTTAAGGGTCCATGCAACTAGATCCACCTGAAGTCCTGTACTGGTTTCAGTTGCCAATCTCAACCTTTGTTAGCATTTAAGAGACAAATTCAGATGTTAAGTTGTTTTTGTTTCCCTGGCAGGTATTCAGTAATTCATTTCTGTGGAAATTTCACTGTCCAAAAGTTGTTCATTTGTGAGTTTTTGCCAAATCCCAGAAAAGTTTCTGTATCTTATACAAAAGTAACTCTTTCCAAAACCCATACAGTTGAATTAAAATGTTTACTGTTACAATTGTTTGTATTGATAATATTACTGAATCCAGTTATGAGATTCGATGATTTTCATATAAGTAGATATAAATATATTTTGAAGATGCACATTATTTACAGTACGGAATCATAAGATCAAATATAGTAAAACTAAAATGTATACTCCGAAACCACAATAATAATATAAACAACTGCATTTCCAATAATGGTGTTTCCTTGGAACAGTGTCAGCTCTATTTGAAGCTTGATTTCTTGGGGGCCTTGAATAGGTTTGACGAGATATAACACCATACTGTTGAATTGGTCATCTACCTTTCGAAACCAGCGCTCATTCACTTTTTGAACTCCAGCCGGGCAGTTCACATCCAGAAGCTTCATTGAAAATTGTGCCCTGGATGAGTACCATTCGGGTCCTTTTATTCGGAATAGGTTGATATCTCGAGTCATGGGAAGATTTGAAACCAGCGTTATGTATTGGTAGGTATATTGCTCTGGCATCAGAAGACACTGGTAATCTCGTAGGTCACAGTAGGACTGCATACGTTTGCAACGCCTAAAATGATACAAACTGTTTTATATTATCATCATTGATATTATTTATTAGATTTCGAATGTATTTTTGCGTCTTCATTATATTAAAGATTAATATGGAGTCGAAGAGGTAGTTTTACGATTTCTAGGAAAACTGTAATATGTATGATTGTCAGTAAAAGTCAGGGATTGTTATACAAAGTTTAGAAGAAACTGTTTATCTGACCTTTACCATGGATACATACCTTTTCCATAATTTTTAATTTCGAACTAATGTTAATGCAATATATAAGAAATCCATCC